TTAAATTTCAACTTAAAAGTGAATATTTCTATCAATAATGAATAAAATCGTAAAAATCGCAAATTGCATCGTTTATATTTTCATTGCATTTCGAATTATTTTTAATATTATTTCATATTTTTATTTATTCCCTATAGACTTCTAAAAAAAAAATCTAAGAAATAAATATATTCGAAGTTTAAAAAAAGTACTATGAAATATGAAATGATAATACGAGATTTTCGAAATTTTTCACTAAAAAAATGCAATCAGTGATGAATAATAATTGAATAATTGGAAACTAAAAAATAAGAAAATAACATAGATATATAGAAAATAATATAAGTAAATATCATAGATAATTTATCTAAAATATTTTCTTACATTTATTTTTTTTCCTAGAAATACTCAATATTTTTGGTTAGATTCCACTGGTTAGGCAAATTCAGATGCCAGAGGGTCAATTAGAAGGCGCAAATGAGACGTAGTTAGTATATAATTGGAGATTTTTGAAAGATAGATTTACTATCGAAACTGCTAAGCATTAGCGTTCCGAAATAAGAATGATGGACTGAAGATTGAGTTTCATCTCCAAAAATATATATTGTATATTAAAAAAATATAAATGAAATATTATTGTTATATATATATATTATAAATATAATAAATATAACAATATAAAAAATATATTATACATATTAAATATGTAATTATATTTAATACGTATAATACAATTTTTTATATATTATATATATTTATTAAATATATAAATATATTAGATGATTTTTTTTAAAAAATATGGAGAAAAATTATATTTTCATCCTTTAGAGAATATTTTTTGAAGATTGAAAAAGAAAAAAAAGGCATCCATCATTCTCGTTTTAAAATAATTCACTAATTCTCAACTCATGTAAACTCAATTCGATAGAATTATCGCTTTTCTAGTTGTAGTTTTTGCTAAAAAAAAATTTACTTTTATCGATAAATTTTCGCAATTTTTTATATTCATTTTATCAAATAAAAAATGAAAATAGCTTTCTGTTTAGCGTACTTTTTCGAGGATAATTTAATCGTCTTTTTTCATTTTTTTGAGAGAAATTAACTAAAAACCAATTAAAAACAATTTTTATTAAATTTACGCCTAATAATTTTCACTTTATTATATTTAATTTAATTAGTTGGAGCTTTAATTAGAATGGCTCATTGGGTTGTTGCTCAATTCGAAGCACCGATGCTGAGGTTCGATTCCCCGCAGGAATAAACCTGTGCAAAAACACCCTGGTGATGCTGGCGACTTACCTGTATTTCTATCGCAAAGAGGCTCTCTGGCATATTGCATCAAATGTGACAAGCCAGTGAAGCGAGTTTAACCAGGCTCTAATAATGAGTACTTTTAAAAAAATGATAGTACAATAATTTTTTATAAAAAAATTACAATTATCGTAATATCAAGAGCATAACTTAATTTTGAATTAGGCAGCCCGATAACTATTGAATTTGCTTTAATTAAAGAGGGAAAAATTGGAATAAAAACGAAACTAGATAGATCGATTCAAAAATTCGTTCAATTAAAGAAAATTCATTTCGTATTTATTCTTTTTTTCTTTAAAAAATATCAAAATTTCGTCATTTTTGGCTCATTCTGCTAGCTTTTTGGATAAAAACTAATTTAACCAGACACTTATTTGACGATAGATTAGGATAAATAGCCGATTTTCGCCAATACTACGAGTAAATCGCGAGAAATCGCGATAAACCGCGATAGACAATAGAAACCAGCATCGATGCTCCAAAATGAGAATAATAACTTATTGTGTCATATTTTTTGCCTATTTTTACTATTAAATGAATTTTTTTCAAATTTTAATCGCTCATTTTTATTTTTTAATTTTATTTTATTTTTCCATCTTTTATATGTTGCAAAAATCGAAATTGAATTGAAAATTTGATTTTTGCGAAAAGCTAAGATAATTAAGCAATTTAAAATAATTAAATTAATAATTAAAATAATTAAAAAATTTTTCTATAATTATCGTCCATATAAAATTGTTCTTTGTTCGTTTATTAGTTAGCAAAGATTCTTTTATCATTAAATTCCATTCTCTAATTAATTAATTATTTCCTATAAGAATAAAATTTTTTATAAATATTTTTATTAATGTCGAATAACAAATTTTTTTCTTTTTGATTTATTATTTTTATTATTAAATAAATTTTTTTTAAAATTTCAATCGTTCATTTTTATTTTTTATTTTATTTTATTTTTCTATCTTTTATATGTCGCATTTGATTTGATTTGATTTTTATCTAATTCGTTATCTATTCAACTCGAATAATTATTTTTTTAATGCTTCACTTTTCTTTTGCCTATTTTACACTATTCACGAAAAGAATTACTACTATGGTACATGACGCATGCAATTATTTGGTAGTCTTATTTTTATTTATAATTAGAATTATACATAAATGCGATTTAAAAAATGCATTGTCAATGTTATCATTTTATAGTAGTGCATTGATAAATAGCCGAAAGTCAACTGAATCAATTCACATATAGCAGACATGGAAAACGATTCGGGAAAATTAGAGAGGAGAGTGATGAAATTAACGAATGCAGCTAATTATGAGCTAAAGCTGAGGCTGAAGTTATCTTCAGTAGCATTTGCATCAGTATATCAGTATATAGAAAAATTTGATGATAGATTTTGCCAGGGAAAGTAATACGGCCATTAATGAACTGAATACTGACACTAACTTATCAAATATCAAATACATCAACGGCTTGCAGCAATGCTCAATACAGTCATTCTTTTACAGTCATCCATCGCCTATAAAAAGATGATTCCGATGACATGACAATCCGCAGTAATTTTACACCTAAGAACAAAATGGTGGTGAGGAAATTATCGAATTATGGCCCAATAAACTGTAAACTAATTTCATATTTAGATAACCCAAGTATTCGGGGATAGAATGGCTCAGTAGGTTATTGCTCAATTGGGAGCGCGATGCTGAGGTTCGATTCCCCGCAGGAGTAAACCTAAGCAAAAAACCGAGTAATGCTGGCGACTTACCCGCATTTCTATCACCAAGGGACTCCATGGTATATTGCGTCAAACCAGCGGAGCGAGTTTAACCAGTAATGAGAATGTTAAAAAAGAAGAAAATCCAAACTTATAGCATTTTTTTTACTATTTTTTGCGGTCCGTGATTAGTTAAAGAAAGATTCAGATTTCATTTCTAATGAATTAGGAGAATGGCACAGAGGCTATTAAAAGTATCCTCTTAGCTCAATATGTTGTTGCTCAATTCGGATCACCTCTGAGGTTTTATCCTGAGGTTCTAAGAATCTAAAACCTGTCCAAAAATTGGGATAATTTCTATCCCCAGCAATGGTGAGGGCCCTTAAAAAAAAATCCTCTGAAGAGAAAATAATATATTATGATGGTTAATGGTTACACCAAAAAACCGCAGGAAAAATCTTATGCTTGCGAGTTCCTCTTTTAAATTCATTAGAGGATTTTTGTATTAGACTGCGTCCTACTAATCGCAAATTTATTATCCTTTATAATAGGTTTTTTACGATAAATGAATATTTTCCTCTCTTAAAAATACAAAAATAAAAATATATATGAAAGGCAAATAAATATTTTTTAAATGCAAATAGATAATTGGAATTTGAATTCGAAATAAAAGGCAAATAAATTGCTGATTTTATCTAAAAATTTACTAAAAAAAAAGAAAATCATTTTAATTTAATTTAATTTAAAAAAGATTCAATAAATATAAATGATTTTGAGGCAAATTTCGAGAATTTCATTGTGCGAAAAATTTTTTATAGGCAATTTTTTTCCACTACTAAGAGAAATTAGAAATTAGAATTTAGCATTTCTTATAGTTGCAATTCCATCAAATCCGTTCTTTCCATTTTTTCGATTCTCTTCTAAAAGTTTATTGTGCTTTTGAAGATTTATGGCAGTTAGCTGTGGTTGATCTCTTTCATCGAAATCACCATCACGTACTGAAATTAAATTTTAATATAATTTTCCTTTAAAAATTCATATTTAATCTAATAAATGAATTTCTTATTAATTCTTCATTTATAATATAAATTACCTATAGTGAATTTTTTGTTTCTTTTTAAGATTCCTCATTATTGCTGGTTAGACTAGTTTTATTGGTTTGTCGCAATGGACAAATATCGCTTGGGAATATGTCCCTTCGCGATAGAAATACAGGCAAATCGACAGCATCACTTATATTTTTGGAGAGATTTACTCCCATTGAAGAGTAGAACTTCATAATCAGCGCTCAGAATTGAGCGATAATCCACTAATTTTAGTTCCAAAAATTTTTTTCAACGTTTAAAAAAAAATTATAAAAAAAAATTATAAAAATTAAATTATAAATAAATTATAAATAATATAAAATATTAATATTATTTAATAATATAATATAATATTATTTAATAATTATGAATTATTAAATTATAGATTATTAAAATTATAAATTATAAAATTTTATAATTATAAAATCATAAAAATTATAAAAACTAATAATGGAAATAAAAATCCAAATGATAAGAGAAAAACTTATTTGCACTTTTCTTTATTAAAATAAGGCAAAAAGCTAAGAAATTTGCAAATACACATTAAAAAATACTTACAATGCTTAGCATATAATTTATCTTTAAATCGCTGCTGATAAGGTGATGGCGGAGAATAAGATCTTTGTTTGATTGGGCTTCGATTTCGTGGTTTAAATGGTTCACATATTCTATTTGGCGAAAAAATAGAAGATTGTTGAATTTCTGGCTGATATTTATGTACTGACTTTCTGAAAAAAAAATAATGAATTTCTAAGTCGAATAAATTTCTATTTCTATTGTTATTACTATTGATAAGAAGATAATTTTGATATGATTATCTGATAATTTTTTAAACTTTGTTAATAGCGATGCATTAGATAAAAATAATATCTCTTTTAATATTAGCAAAAATATAAATACAATGGAATATGATTTACCGAGGAGCACATTGTCGATTAAATTCATCACGATTTCGTGATCGACTTCGACGTTCAATTTTTTGCCTCAATTTTTTTGGAGGCGTATCGTTCCATTGTCGTCTCCATGGTGGTAATGATTTACTTGGCTTTCCTGGGCTCACATAAAAACTTTCTCGCCTAGATGGTTTCGTTGATGTAAGATATCCTTTAAGGCGAAAATAAAAGAATGCAATGATAATTGCGCATACACTCTGAAAAAAAAAAGAAATGATTATATATATATATTTATTTATTAAATATATATTAAATATATAAATACGTTTATATATATTTTATTAAATGTAAATATATATTAAATATATAAATATATATATATATATATATTAAATATAATTTAAATTAATTTATTAAATGTTTATTAAATATAAATATATAATTTTTTAAAGGCATTCATCATGGCTGGTAAGATTCTTCTCGCTGGTTCGTCGCATTAAGCAAAATATACCAAGGAATATTCGGCGATAGAAATACATATGAATCGCCAGCAATAGATGACTTAATAATTTTGAAAGTTATTTTCAAAATTAAAATTTCAAAAATGCCCACATTGATTGCTAATGACATTACGAATTCAGCGACAGACATAGTCAACTGTGGACCGAAAACATCACCTGTCCACCATAGAATAGCATATGTCGTCGAAAAACCTATAATAGGAACTGCACTGAAGAACCACGGCCATACGCAGTTCGGTTTCATCTAAAAAGAAAGTCTTCTGCGAGTTAGGTGAATGGCATAATTCCATAACAAAACTTAGAGACCATAATATCGTAATATTTGTGGAAAATTTCGTATTATATAAAAATTTATGTTAAAATATGTTAGAAAAAAAAAGTAATTCTAATAGCAATTTTTTATTGGTTTTGATTTTTTTGATTTTTTTCAAGTTAACTAATGATAAATTTCACTTTTCATTCCATATCAATAACATTTAGTGTGAAATCTCGATTTTTACCATCCGATTACAGTTATTTCGAATTGTACTATATTATATTATTTTGCAATTTCCTCTTTCTTTCATTAAATTGTTAATTAATTTTAATTTATTATTATTTTTTTTGTTTGGCATGGCTTCATGCCCTGCTTGGCTGGTTTTCAATAAATAAATAAATTAAAAATATCAAGAAAAATCAACTTAAATCCATTTGGATAATAAACTACGAGCGTCTAAAATTTCGACGAAGACGAATCTCAAAAATGATGGCTCAAAAGGATTTAAATAAAATATATATTCTATATATATTATAAAATATATATAAAATATATATTTATATATGTTATAAAATATATATTATAACATATATAAAATATATTTGTATATATATATATATATGTATATATATATTAATTCATAAAATAAAACTATATTCAGAGCGAATGAGCAGAACAGTGTGAAGAATTGTGAGAAATTGAAGCAAGGAATGAAATATACTGAAAGCCAAAGGGAGCAAAAGACAAGGATATTATTCTTGGATTTTTCAAAACTGCCTTAGAAAAATTTGGTTTAGGAATATCTTGATGAAGCGATAATATTTAACGTTGCGAACATCACGGATGACCGCCCATTTCACAATAAATCGGAGATGCGAACAGAAACTGAAGCCCTAATGGTGTTTTAAACACCAGATTTTAGGCAACCTTTAAAAAAAAAAGCCTAATAGAGGAAATTGCTGCAAATTGCTCGAAATCGTTAACAACATTTTGATGGAAATGATGAGTTGCTGAATAGTCTCATAAAAAAATAATAAATTATCCTTATTAATAAATGGTTCTTTAAAATGGATAAAATTCTGCGAGAAAAATACCAAATGTACAAACTTTTTTTTCTTGAATATAGGATTGATATTGATATTTATACATGTTCATACATGTTCTATGATTAATGGTGGTTGATAATTTTTGGTTATCACTGACAATTTTTGGGATTGAAAATTTTTTTTCTAGCAAACAATTTCTAATCAAGTTATCAGCTTCCTTAAGAAATCAAATAACTTACATATGTTAATGAAAAGTTCTTTGATAAATCATTCGTAATGATAATTATGATAAAAGATCACATGAAGAAATAAAAATTTAACGCAAAAATTATTCAAAATAAATATTTATTTATAAATTAAAATTCTAGAATTCTCTCGAGTTTTGAAAAATCCATAAAGACTGAATGTAAAAAAATAATTCTTAAAATAATTTAAATCAATACCAATGAAGATCCAATAAGAAGTATAGTTGATAAGCATAAATGAACAAAACTCATCACCAATGTTATAATCGCAATAGTAAATAAAGCTGAAAATAACAAAAAGATTAATAAAAATACAAAAATAAATTTAAAAAAAAACAGTAAAAATCCAGATTTGTCGAATAAACTGGATTATGCTATTTTATTAGATTACCTTTGTAGCGAGTGAAGCCAGCTTAACCAGTAACAATATGAGAGCTATTTAGAGAAGAAAAAGGCACTATTATTAAATATTCTTTTATTTATTGACATTTTTCAGTATTTTATTTTTTTTTTACAAACGAATTTTAATCATTTTAATTAACTAATATTTAAATATAAAAATATAATATAAATATAAAAATTATTAAAAAAATTTAGAAAAATTTTAATTTAAATTTAATTTAATTAAAAAATTTTTATCTACTAATAACTGTGAAGAGAAAATGACATAACTATTTATTCGTCTACGCTCTGGCGATTCGGAATACATTGCGTATAAACCAGGAAACCTTGCTTGAAAAGGATTTACTCTAAAAGAATTATGTATTATCGTTTCATTGGTACCACATTAAAAATTATTATTGCCAAATACAAATATTGTTGCTAATTTTTCAAACATTGATGTAAAAAATCACCTCAAAAAAAACCCTTTTTCATTGGTACCACATCAAAAAATCTATAAAAATTTATAAATATTGTTGCTAAAAATCTATAAAAATCAATAAAATCTATAAAAAATTACAAATATTATTGCCAAATACAAATATTGTTGCTAATTTTTCAAACATTGATGTAAAAAATCACCTCAAAAAAAAACCCTTTTTCATTGGTACCACATCAAAAAATCTATAAAAATTTAAAAATATTGTTGCTAAAAATCTATAAAAATCAATAAAATCTATAAAAAATTACAAATATTGTTGCTAATTTTTCAAATACTGATATAAAAAATCAAAACCTCAAAAAAAAAACCCCATTTTAATGGTACCGCAATAAAAATTATATAAAAAATCACAAAACTGCTAATTTCTCAAAATCACAAATATTGCTAATTTCTCAAAATCACAAATATTGCTAATTGCTATTGATGATCACTGATGTAAAAAATCACCTTAAAAAACCTTACCCAAGAAAGGGCATTTGTCTATTTTCGAATTGCCATTGAATATCTCTAACAAATTTCGTTTGCCATCCAAAAATTACGAGTTGAATCAGCGAATAGATCTTTAGTGAATAAAATTTTAGAAATTTAACAGATTCGAAAATTTTATCAAAAAAAATTATCAATTTATCAATTATCAAAATTATCAAAAATTGTTTCATTCTCAAATCCTGAATGCTAAAGCATTTTTCTAAATCAAAAAAAAATTCTCACTTGATATAGGATCTTTTAATTTTATTTGATAAAAGACGAAAATAACGACTAACAAGATTCCAAATAGCAATGGTGATTGCGGCACCTCGAAGGCAATGTACGGGATCCGCCATAATGCCATTCACTGTTAAAACCACATAATTCGATTCTTACAATTTGATTTTTTCATTGATATTTCAAAAAAATTTCAAATAAATGACATAGTAAATGGTAAGTGATAAAAGTGATAGAACGCTGATAAACTGATTATTAATATATTTAACTAAAAACTGATTAAATACGTTTAAGAAATATTTCTCATACCAATATTATGATAACTAATATCAGAATAAATAAACGAAACAATTTTAAACAAATTAAGTTCATTCCGTCAATTTAGGATTAAATTTTGACACCATTGGTGACAATTTCAGATGATTTTATAAATAATGCTAAAAAGTTTATTTTTAGAATGAGAAACAGATGGGATAATTAATAGATGGAACTAATGCTTCTGATGAAAAAACTGATAGCAAAAATGGATTTATACAATTTCGGTCCATTAAATCCTTGGTATAGAATGGTTCAATGGTTTGAGTTCCAGTTATCATTTTGGTGCACCAATGCTAAGATCACCTGCGGAGCAGAAATAATGGTGAGCGATAATAAAAGAAAAATCCATTACTTCAGATAGCATTGAGAATCAGGTGCATGTCCTAATAGTTAGTACCACTACTCACTCCATCTCGTAGTATATTTCAAAATTACCGCATCCTTCTAAGCATTTGTAGATCTATTTTGCTTTCAGGTAAATATATGTGTTTAAAGTTAATTTAAAAAATATTTGAAAGAATTATAAAGAAAAAAGTAATGAAACAAAGATTCTCCAATTGATAAGTCAAGACAAATAATCAACTGATAAACTGATAAGTTATCAAATCTCTACTAACAAAATTTAAAAAATAAAAAAACTATATTAAAAATAGAAGATAAAAATCTTCTCATCGTAACTATTTCTTTATTACTAACAACAAACAAGTAATATTTCTCAATCGATGTTCGCGAATCGCTATTTTATTGTTTGTTTAGTGCGCCAGGCAAATGATGGGCAATGATTTTTGCAAAAAAAGCAATCCCCCCGCTCCCCCTCTCCCTCCCCACCTATTTGATTTCTTTTATTTATAGTCAATATATTTATTTAATTTGACATTCACTAAGCCGTTTTTTTTCGCTAAAAATAAACAATTCTTTTATTTTTATTTTTTCATATAGAAAAGAATTATTTATTTAAATACTATTTTCGTATACATATATATATTTAATTTAAGAATATTTAATTTAATTTAATTAAATTTTAATTTATTTTATTTAATTATATTTAATTATATTTATATTTAATTCTAGAAAAAATTTATAAAAATAGATTTAATAAAGATTTTTTTCATATGAATAATTATAATGGAATTTTGTATTTAAAAAAAAAGTTAAAAAAATAAAAATTATTTTAATTTTTTGCAAATAATAGATTGTGAATAGTCGAATTGATAATAATTAAAAATTAAAAAGTTTGGAGACGTTCTTATCGTTATAACCAATGCAGCCAACTTAACCAGTAATGATGAGAGCTGTTAGATAAAGTAGATAATCATGCTGCTGAGATTCTGTAAGGATTTTCTCTTCTACTTCTAACAGAAGGAATGAAAGTGTCATTTAAAAACCCAAATCACGAGGTCGACACTCAGTTTTGTTACTGTTGTGACTTCATGGCATTTTAAGCAAAGGTGCGAATCACTACTGGTGAGTGGCTGATCAATTACAATTACTTTACTTTCATTTTGTGAAATACAAAAGCCAAAAAATGAAAATTTTGCTTATCGATAGTCCATAGCTAAACGAATTTATTATGAAAACTCGTCTTTGATAGGAATTATATAAATTATAAAATTTGATATTAAGTCAAATATTTGTGTCTTTCTCAAAGGAGTTGATTTCGCTAGTAACTTTTCAAGGTTTCAAGGTTTGACGTATAAAGCGCTGTAGTTGGCTATATAGACGACTAATGGCTAAATATTTTTTTAAATATTTTTATAAATATTTTTTATCGTCTATATCAAATAGAATTAAATAGTACTATACAATGGGAGAAATAAAAAGAAATAATAACAAATTAAAAAAAAAATAATTAAATAAATAAATATAAACATAAAATATTGCAAATTTTGCAAATATTGCAAATAAACGATTATCACAATGTATCTAAATCATCCAATTTTGGCATCTTAGCAGAAATGAATTCTTCATCGTCATCTTCATCACTTTCACTCATTTCTAAATCTGCAGCAAGTTGTCCACTTGTGTGCATTTGAGATCGTAGTAAATCGTTCTCAGCATCATAGCATCCATCACCCATTTCCCAATTACTACCTTCAATTTAAGAACAATTCATAAAAAAAAGAAGGCAAATAAAGAGAATAACCACTGAATAACGAAAAATAATAAAATTCCAATATTCGATAAATATAATGAAGAATAAAAATTTATTATAATAAAAATTAATTAATAAAAATATTAATTATTAATAATTAAATAATTAAATAATAATAATATTAATAATAAAATAAAAATTACCCATGTCATTATTATCATTATCATCATCGCTCATCATCAAATCATTGAAAGCATCACTGCTCTTCATCGTTTGTGCTTCATCCTCATCTACATAAAAATTACATAATTTAACAATTTTTTTCATTATTAATGAATAAATAATATTCTTACACTAAAAGAAATAAATAGGTAAATAAATACTTATAAAATTTCTTAATGAAATTTTATAAATAGATATTTCAACCGATAAATAATAACTATAAAAAACATTCGGTAAGTTTTTACCTATATCCTCTTCCTTAATAATCTTCAAAGGCACACGGGGCGACATAGGTTCATTTTCATCTAAAATTGCACTACTTGTCGCAACAGATTCTGCATCAGCGCAATCTTTTAGGGTAGCTTGGATATTACTTTCTAATTCTACAAGCTGATCTTTTCGAAGCTGAAAACATACCGTTAAAGATAAAAATATACCGCTGCTAAATTAAAAATTCTGCTTCAAATTAATGTTTATATCTAAAGACTTAAAAACTTACAAAAACTTACAGACTTAAAAACTTACTTCCACCAGCCTTTCAGCATTTTGGTATATTTCAACGGCCTTTGCTGTATACTGTGAAGTTTCCGCTGGTCCATTATAAAGTTCACTATTTATTTTTATCTAAGATATGAATTCATAAATGCCAAAATACAAAAGTTTTAATATGAAATATTTGTCTTAAAAATTATAAAAATTGTAAATTAGAAATTATCAACTATGTACTACTTATCAATTTATCATTGTCACTGTCACTATTTACCACTGTCTTAGAAATTAAAAATTGAAGAAATGAGTCTTAATTTCAATTATTACTTCACTATTTCTTGGACATCATATATTTTTCGTTGCTTTTTGGACAAATATATCAATTGAAAAGATTATACCTGCATGATGTCCTTCATGAATGCTTCTATAGTGGTATACTTATGATTTTTGATATTTTTTTCCATCGTACCAAGATCCATTGGATTTTCAATTTTTTGATAATACATAGGAATCTGAAGAAAACAGGGGAGTAAAAAAAAAATAATAAAGTAATAGAAAGAAGAGAATCTAAAATTTCTTTTCCGAAGATAGTTTCAATTTTTTACCTTCTTTGCATCGACTTTCGAATGAAAAGCAACACTCTTTGGCAACATTTTGCATTCTTGAACAATTTCATTTAAAATAAACGAGAATCCTATAATATCATTATCATCCAGTAAAGGATTTATGGCCTTCTCGAGTGAAAATAATTTCTGTTCTCTATCTGCTAGACGTCTCGATGCCACTTCTAATACCTAAATTGCAAAACGTGTGTTACATACTTTTTCTCGATGAAATGAAAAAAAAAATAATTCAACCGATGAATAAAAGTAAGAAATGAATATTTCTAATCATAATTTAAATTAATTAAGAATGAAGAATTTGGGCTAAAAAATATAAAAGTGAAGGAGCTAAAAATGAAATGAAAAGTTGCGCTAAACCTTTCTAGCCGTTTCCGTAATTACATGATTATCACCGTTATAAATTCGAGAATTGTCGAGAATTTGTTTAATATCAGCTAAAAATTCACGTCTTAGTTCATATTTACAAGCATCGATTTTCTTTTTGATTTGTTGCAGATCCATTGGATTTTTAATTATAGTATAATAGTCGGGAACCTATAAAGCAATGAAAAATCAAAATATATCTTTAGAAATATATCTTTAAAAAAAGAGAAATAAATACGATAAAACTCCTTCTCCTATAGCCTACAGTTATCTAAAAAAAAATTAATCTTATTTGATAACCATTAAAATATTATTTTACATATATTGTTTATTTTATTTTTTAAAATTAGTTGAAAAGAAAATAAGAAAATAAATTAAGAAAAAAAGAAAAACAAGGCAAAGGAAAAAAATCAGAGAAAGATGATCATACAAAAAAATATACTTTTTTCGCGTTAACAGGAAAAAGTAAATCTTCGGAACCAGGTACTCCACGCATATCAAGAAATATTTCGTTAAGCTGAATGGACATGGTTACCTATAAAATAAAAAATACTAAAATAATAATAAACTGATAGAATATATTTAAAGAAGGAATGAATTCAATTACATTTGTTTGATAATCAAAAAAATTACAAACTTTAGGATCAGCACGGCGACGTTTCACGGATTTTTGAGGCCCAAACAGATAATCGTCAACATCTGCTATAGAACGTTTCCTTGGACGGGATGGTCCAGCAAGTGAATGAGCTTTTTCTCCGCCTATAATAAAGATTGACGAAAACTCATAAAAATTCTTTGAATGAACTGGAAGCATTAAAATAAAGCAAACTTGATGTATGAAAAGAGTCGTTTGAAGCGGTTTCATTAAATGAAGTATCGTTTGATAATTTTATAGCCTCTCCTGCTGTGGGTAAAGAATCCTTGCTATCATCTGGTTTTTTGTCTATCAATTCGCGAGGTATGTGAAGCCTGAAATTTTCAATAAGGCTTCAATACAATATTTTTAAAATATACTACCGAAAGATATAAAATATTACTACTCACTTACCTAACTGCATTTTTTTTAACCATCTCTGAAATATTATACACTTTCCTTGAAATCTTTAGTTTTGTTCCTTCCACAGCAATCAGTTCACCAGATGGAACAACAGCCATTTTTTCCAGCTGCTCATCAGTTAAAGCAACCTACAATATATAATATTAAATATATATAATATAATATATATAATATAATATTAAATTAAAAAATACAAATATTTCAAAAAGTGCTAGCAAATGCATAATCGTTAATATTAATATTCCTATGGTGACACATATTGTAAATCCGATGTATCCTTCGATTTCATAAATTCAAAAATTGAAAAAAAAATCAAATGCTAAGTGAGAATTTTTGATGACGGCTAATTTTCAAAAACCACACCGGATGAATATCGCCGACAGTTTTAATAGAACTTTTATTAGAATCTTTTCCATATAATGGGCAGTTCTTATTAGTCTTCATATGGCCAGTTCCATGGCATGCGCTACAGCGCATCTTTAACAAATTTGGTTTAATAACGACGGGTTTCTTCTCAATGGTTCTTGCCTGAAAAGAAACATAAAATGGAAGAAAGTCTCCAGAAATATAAATGCGAAAAATCAATATAAATATGCAAAAAATTACTTTAGCGATAGGATGACCTATGGGCACACCATGCAATTTTGCTTTCATTTCATTACGACGTATTCTTCTCAATTGATCTTGTAAGCGACGCTTTTCTTTCCTTCGCTCCTAGGATTAACAAAATTCAAAAAAAAAAAAAAAAATTCACGTTTTTCAGTGTATTTTTTTTTCATAGATATGACCTAATAGATTATGCATTGGAATCCGGTCATATTTTATTCGTCTACCATACAATACATTTAAAATTCCTCTTCGATTTATATATAACGGTTCAAAAGAAAACAAACTGAATAATGAAGGATTAATATTTAAGTCACCTCTTTATATTGTTCATCCATCTGAGCATATATTTGAATGAAAGTAGGATCGCGTGTTGAACGAATGCGCAAATAAGCTTCAATCAACTGCGGCCTTGTAATAACTTCAATTCGAGTCTAAAAAATCCATTCTTACATCTAAAAAGAATTCTCTTCAGTCGTTTAAATTAATGAAAAAAGAAACTGAACAAAATGTAAAACAAATGATTTCATTTGTTCCAATGAAAAAATACAAAGAATATATTTTTAAATGAATAAACGAACTGATTCACTTCCATCGGGATTTTTATACGTCCGATAGATTTTTAGCTTACGAGAAATAGCATTACTATTAGAATTCTGTGCTGCATCGGCATTTCCTACACCAGATTCTTTTGCTAAATTTATTTATTTACTCATTTATAGAAGCAGTTTTATAAAAAAAATATTTTTGGATGCATGGATTAAGAATAAACAAACCCGATGTGCTTTTAATTTCACCTTCGTTTTTGGCAGCAGCGGCTCCACTGTTCGCCTCACCATGGATCATTTTTTGCAAAGCTTTTCTTTCTTTTTCTTCTTGTTCGAATTCTAATTTTTTCCGATCAAGGACGGAAATTCCCTTTTTTCCTTAAGTAGGTCATTGTTATAAAAGTAATCTGCGCCGAAAAAGAATACAAAATATTCAATAATAACATAAGAAAAAAACCTTTATTAGCATCCAGCATACTTTCGAGTTTTGTAGCTAATTCTTCATTATCTGAATCTTCACAGCTACTTCCTTCATCAGTGCTCAGTACATCAGAATTTGATAAAGTCCTAAGATAAAAGAAAAACTTGACAATTATTAGCTACTTTAAGAATGCTTTTAAAATATTACAGTGAACATATATATAAAACGACAATTTAAGCCAATATTTCTAAATATGGGAAAATTTAAAAAAAAAAGGAAAGCCTAGCTGATTTTGCAAATCAAATGTTCGTTGGCAAAATTTTTTGTATTTTTCTTGCATATCAGCAAAATTGAAACGAATATTTCCGCGGGCGAAACGAGCCATTCCTTAAAAATTGAAATAATTCAAAATTTCGAAAAAAATTTAAAAACTAATTTTCTATATTTTCAGTGTAGAAATTTTAGAATAGAATAAAATAGAATATTAGAAATACCTGAAAAATCAGATCTTGCCTTAGCAGCTTGCGTCGACAACGTACGTATGACATCAATTATTTCCCATCTACTTAAAGAGTTTATCTGAAAAAATAGTATTCTTATCAAATGAATTAGATTGATGAAAGATTTTTTATGTTATAGCAATATATAAATAGCAGAACCAAAAAAGAATTCTAAAGAAAAAAGACAAGATGTTCAAGATATTCAAAAATTGAATGCTATAAATGCAACCTCTTCTTCTCGAACTCCATAATCGCGACAAATTTCTTTGGCCTCTTTTAGGGGCAATTTACGCAAATCTGCATTTGTCCCAGTAACTAGTCGTTTTGGAACATTAGGTACTTCTTCCTGCATAAAAACCATCTTAGAAAACGCGCTTACAATAAAAATGGGAAAAAAAAATTTGCACGTAAATGACCTTTGCCTTTTGTGGTTTGGCACTGATCCTAACATAGGAGAAACCCTCGCCACATCCAGTAGGATCAGCAATACCCGTTTGATCGAGAAGACATTTCCCTTTTACAGCAGCAATATACGCTCTTGTTGTATTCCAAGGAGCACATTTAATCTAAAAGTTCGAATACATCAGGTTTGAAAGGGATTATTTTTTAATACTATGATTTAACCTCATCTTCAATTGTGACTTGATCATCTGAATCATCTTCGTTTTCTGGAGTGAAAAAATATTTTTCTCCATAGCCAGCATCCTTAATAATAGATATGGTAATAGATAATAATAGAATGAAATTTTTTGGAATTTAGACAATAAAAAAAGACAAAACATTTAATATGAGAAATATAAAATGCAAAAGCAACTTTCAATCGTTGTTCAGCAGCTAGCATACTGTATTGAGCGCAACACATTTCGGGAGTGACCATAGCAAGAACTTCTTCCTTACTTGGAAGACGAAAATCACTTCTTAGTACCTAAAAAATCAAAAAATAATAAAAACTTAAAGATATAAAACGATTGCTCTTGAAAAATAAATATGACTTTTCCGAAAAAAAATCTTTTTTTCTAATTCCACAAAATCTAAAGCCCTGGTTCATTGATTACAATCATTTAGACTTAGCAAAAATTTTTAATATTATTTCACAACAAGTTGCTCATAAATATTCATGAATTTGAAGTCAATTCTGGTTTGTTTAATTAGATTTTAAACCTTTAATAGGCTGTAAACATTAATATTTCTAATTTATTGCACAGCTTCGCACTTATTTCAAATATAAAATTTAAAAAAAGCTATAATTTTAACCCAATAATTTTGATCTGGCCCTTGACCTAGCCTTTTGAAATCTGAACACTGTTTAAGACGTTTTCGAACTGAACTTTCCGCATAATGAGGAAATGAAGCTTTTATATCCTCCATTTTTAACCTAAAATTATTTAAAATCCACCTGATAAATATATTTTATCTATTTAATTTAAAAACTTAATTAACTTAATTATAAAATAATTCTAATGATTTTAAAAACGTATAAATATGCAAAACTATCCATAACAGCGAAGTAAAAATATAATAGAAATGTATATATATAAATACATACAAATGTGTGTGCAAAAATATATATACACATGTCCAGAATAGCATGTCCAGAATACTCACAGCCATTAATTGAATACTATACAGAATAAATAATAATTCGAAATTTAAATCAAAAAAAATCATAAGATTTCGCTTTCAATCTATATAATTAACGACAAACCTTCTTGGATTTTGATCGCTAGCCCAGAAAAGTCGATAAATATATGCGAGAAGAAAATCTCGAACAAACATTGTGGCTCTTTTGGAATTAGGACTCGGTACCTCATAAAGTGGGCATTCCTGGCCGACCAAATATAATAAAGGACATTTCCTAATGAAAAAACTGCAAAAAAATTAGAAATCTACTTTAAAATATGAATATGAATGAAAATGAATAAAAATATGAATTTTTGTTGTTGCAGAAAATGAAATGATTTCTCATACCCTTGCTTTGTTCTTATGAGAAGAAAATCATTCTGATTCGGTTTGTGTAGATAAATAGGCGCTCGATAAAGATTATTTTCGATTGATTGAAGGGATTGCCCAGGTGATAATGAACCAAGAAATGGCAATGTATGAGTAAATGCCGTCTCGCCAAACTCGTAGTTTATTTCAGTTTCTTTTCCAACTTTCTGAAATTTCGAACATCAATTAGAGTAAAAAATGATAGAAAAAGGAAAAATGAAAATAAAATGAAAATGATAGAGAGCATAGATAATTATGGAAAAAATGAAAATTTCACGATCGTAGGATTCAACTATTTTTAAAATATTGAAAATTTATGCGAATTCATCGAATGTTACATTATCGAAAAAATTAGCATTTTCAGTAATTTTATGTTAAAAAAAAGCCTATGTTTCACCATTTTGGTTTCACCATCAAACATGCTAGGAAACACATATTTATATATTATATCTACTATAATTCTATGTCATATCATTTAAACTGCTATATTTTGCGAAAATTTCCCATTAAATATACTCTTTACAATACTCTCTCAAAACATCCTACACCCTCTACACCCTCTTCTACACCCTATTCGCTTCCAATGTTTTTTCTGCTTAGCGAAACAATGAATGAAATAAATTAAAGAAATGCTATAAAAACAAAAAATATTAAAAAAAATTTAACCCTTTTGAAGTAATTTCGAATTTTACTGGCCATTCCTGTTTGATTCAGAAGAGGAGGATGTTCCTCTGAATATTCCATTAATAATAAAGTACCATCCTTCCCCGAGAGATCTTGCAATTCCCGCATAAAGAAAATTTCGCCACCACCTTCAGCAGCCTTTTGTTTCTCACGTAACTAAATAACGCGTACTTTATTAATCCAAAAAAATTTTGTCTCTACTGTAAACGATAAAAAATCGTATTTCTTTTAAAAAATATAATGAATGACGATGTTCGCTGAGGATTTAGAAGAAAGGAAGATTAAACTATAATTGCCACTTGTGGTTGATACCATTAATATAAATTTTAAAAGCTCTCAGTGGAAAAAAATAAACCTCTTCTTTCTCTTTGATCAATTTCGTAAGAGTTCTAACAGATAGATAATCACCAATCGCACCACGAATTGCTCGCTTCGTTATGGGAAGACGATGGAAATAACGAAGTTTGACTGGATTAATATGTGTTGGAAAAAGAGTACAATGTATATTTTGTGCTGGAATAGAATGCTGAATCAGCGATCCACCAGAAAGCGCATTAACAGATCTGAAAATGCATTACCAAAGAATAGAATAACTATTGTTATGTCCTCTAAACCTGTCAGATTTCGCGACGAATAATTTTTTCAATATGTGGCTCAAAAAAAAGGACTGAGTAAACATACTTTTCGACGTTTTTTGGCATATAATAATCGTCATTGCTTAAATTAAACGGATCTTTATCAGTCATTTGGGCTACTGAACTTTCCATCTGTTCATCTTCTTCTTGTTTTTGCCGCTGTTGAACCTGACCAAGAATCATCTTTGATTTTTTCGTGAATTGATGCTCCTAAAAAAAAGCAATCGACATACTCCATAAAATATAAGGCTACATGAATCATTATATATGAAATACTTTTCTATCGAAAGGTTTCGGTGTTGGAGTATCACCATCCGCTGGTTTTTCCTCCGGAGCTTTATCTTCTGGCATCCCAAAAATTTTCGGATCATCTCGGTAATCCAGAGTTAATACCAATGGTTCTAAAAAAAAATTGACTGGTTGATGGATATGACCATTTCTTGTTCAGTTTATTTTAAATTTAAACTGAACAAATACCAGGAATATGATCCATATTTTCAGAATCCCATATAATATCATCCTCCCACCTTGTGTTCAATAAATCAAAATTATCCATAGGAAATAAAGAATGATTTGCAGTTGGTTCTTTTGGAAAATCTGGAAAAATAATGATGCATTCACCTTTTCAACACTGTTATCTCTCTTAATTAGAATCGTAACCTTTTATCAAACAAAACAAAAGAACCTGTGTCAATCATTCGCAGTGGCACCATGCTACCAGGTCTCATAAACATTTGCTCCAAAACATTAGTTTTATCTTCAAAAAAAGTATTATCAAAAGTATTATCAAAGTATTAGAAGTATCATGAAGTATCAAAAACTTTTTTGATGAATTATCGCTTTGAATATAACAAAGTAACTAATTTGAATATAACAAAGTAACAATGTTTGTAATTAAATTTCTTAGGCTTTTTTCAAAACACTCTTCGTCGTCACCGCCCATGTTGCTTTTGACAGCAACATGGATTTATTCCTTATTCCCTGATCCTTGATATGAGTAAATTAAACCATTAAAAATTTCATTATAGTGAACAGTGAAATTGTAGTAAAAAATATAATTATAAAATATAAAAAAATATAAATATAATTAGTTAATTATATTTGTTTATCAAATTATATTAAATAAAAATAAATTTTTACAAAATAATTTTTAGTTCATCATGATGAAATATGAATCAAACTTACATGCTGTCATGAAAGATTCATAATTTCGAGTCTGTTGCGTAGGAATCCAACCATATTCAAGTGGTTTGCCAGAAGAAAGCTGTTTCAGAAGCTTTAAAAATATAATTAGTAGTATAGAACAATTTAAAAGACTACAAAACAAATATAAAATGATAAATTTTAATATAATTTGTTAAAAAAAAGCAAAACATTCACATGCTATGTTTACCAGAAACAGTAAGTTGTTAGTTAGATAGAAATCTTACTTGCTGACGAGCTTGTTCGGGATCAATAATGATATCATCTTCCCAACGCACTAAATTCACAGGAAGGAATGCTTCTGGTGGAGGAGGTTTAACATTTATCGAGCCATTATGGCTTTTTTCTAAAGGCTTCTCTTCGCTTTTCTCTTCTTTGACCGAATTTTTCCGCTTAATTTGGTTCTGAAGGCCAAGATAATTTGAGTTTTCACCAAATATATTACAGATTTTATACAGATCTATCCTTAATCAAAAAATTGAATCGAAAATTTTTCGATAATATTATAAATTCCTTTATTTTTCATTCTAAAATAAAAATATTACCTCTCTTCGCAGTTTGAAACCGTAATCGAAATTATAAGGAACAGGAGGAAGGCCCATACGGTCATACCAAATTCGACCTGGACCATACCTAAATCATATGGTAAAATAATTGTTCTGCAATAAAAACATTATGATTAAAAATATAATTAAAAATACGAATTTTGAAATTCCTTTCTTGGACAAGTTCCTTATAGAAGAACCTCTTCATATTTGACAAGAAATGTATATAATTTAACCAATTTTACAATAAATACAATAAATAATTTTTGAATAAAAGCGAAAAAAAATTGAATGCAAAATGAAATATACAAATTTAAATATATAAAAGAACAAAAATTTCAGTAAATAATTTTAAAAAATAAGAAATAATTAGACCTCCATGGAGGTACGTTAATATCATCACTATCGTTCGACCCGGACTTTCCCATAGGTAATGAATTAGAAGGCCACATTAAAAGTACTTCGTCATCAATTTGCAATTCCTCTGGTGGTGGCGGCGGTGCAAAATCCAATTCAATCTCACGCTTTTTTTCACTAACTGAATATTCAACTTCCTGAAAATTTTAAAACTTTCACTGGTTTTTCTTTACGTATCATAGCAACTGCGAATGTTTCGAAAAAAAATAGAATAGAAGTCTAATAGCGCGTAAAATAAAATTGAAAAATCATCTCTAACATTAAAAAACAAAAAAAAGCATACTTGTGCAGTGTCATTAACGGAAGCTTTATCTTTATTGTTTTCATGATCTACCGAAATCTGCAAACGAATGCTTTTACTGCTCCAAAAGAACAAGCATTTCATAAAATATAAATTTAAATTATTTTATCTAAAATTTGGTAATAAAAAATACATTTCGACGGAATGTTTTGGCCGGCCACCAAATTTTTGCTCGAGATGTCGACTTTAAATTAGCGCCAAAAAGTCGTGAAAATCTTAGAATATCATTCGGTTTATAGTCTGGGAAAAATAATCTGAAAGTTAGATGAAGATGAAAAGTATTGAATAATTCCAACAAATTTCCGGAAGAAAACATAAATTTAACGCAAATAAATTTCGAATATTGAAGTGAATCCGCAGACTTAAAAGAAAATATTCTCTTATCAAAATTTGGGTAAAATTACAATGTTTTAGCACCTTGGATCAATTTTATCAAGCCTTTCATCATGCAAAATTCCAGCTAAAGGAGCATCATCTCGCATCGAAGGTGGTATGAATTTACCACCAGAAAATCGATCTAAAATGAGCAAAATTTTGAAAATAAGATTTTTGAAATGAAATTTTCTGGCTAAAGGGAAAATCACAAAGATTATAGGATTTTTAAAAGCTTATCCCAAAAATATCAGTTTAACAGATCTTTGACCTTTGAAAAGTTATCACATAACTTTAAGAAAGCATTTCCGCAATTATAAAGAAAGCATTTTGAAAGCATTTCCAACAAATCCGAAATGCTACTGAAGTGCCGCACTTTATTTTACTTTTTATTTTATCCTGAGAACGCTTCTAAATCAAATACATAATACATACATAAATACATAATTATATATAAGAAATACATAATTATATATTTATAAATACATAATTATATATAAGAAAAATGTGGAAAAATCTCACTTTCTTTTATGATTTCATAATCATCATCAGAAGCTTCTTCAGCTCGTTCATTATCATCAACAACGTTAGCAGAAGTTGGCATTAATTCATGCAAGCGATTCAACCAAGCTAAATTATTTTATCATTAAAATCTGATTTCTGCGACAGAAAATAAAGTAAGAAAAATAATTCTTATTAGTACTTTTATCCTATATTTTTCACAACTGCAATCACTATTGTTATTACACCAAATTATTTTCTCATTTTATAGTCAATAATATAATATATTCAGTCAAAAAAGGTCATTAAAACCTTCGCATTAATAAATTGTATAATGTAACATATTTTTACGTCCACTTGGAAGGTCAGCCACAGAAAAGATATTGGACCAGATTTACCAGTTTTTGCGAGTATTGCATATTTACACTTCCTTTGCTATTCAGAAATGGTCAAAAACTGTATACTAGATTTGACTATGCGATCTATCATTATGGACATTGGTATATCTATGCAAAAGTGATTATAGAAAAAATGGGAAAATTTATTAGGTGCTACTCTAATTTTCTCATTTCAATCTCTGAAGTTTTTCGAGAAAATCAACGCTTGAAAATGTCAAAGAAAATCACATAGTGAAACTAAGCAGTGAAAGCAGTATTTGTAGTAATGAGCATCCCATGCTCATTAAGCCATTCTATCCCATTAGAATATTTTTCCACAAATACTGCTTTCACTGCTTAGTTTCACTATTCAGAAAAAATTTCAGCCAGTGAATTCGACTAAAATTCTAACAAAGTAATTCTCGAAAAATATCGCGAAAAAAAGAAAAAATAATCGATCTACAAATATATTTACGTGAAAATCCTAGAACATTAAAAAAATTGATTTCAACGATAGAAAGACCACACTAGAACAACAGCAGAATTCGAATTATAATTTGACCTCAATAGCACCCATTTAATTGTATCACTAAATTAGACTGGATGGAATAGGCTGCGACATATAAATAATACGTATGGTAGATGTTTACCTAAGGGAAGAACCAAACTTAGACTGGATTGGATAGGCTGCGACATATAAATAATACGTATGGTAGATGTTTACCTAAGGGAAGAACCAAACAGCACTTGCAATGGATAAAACTGATGCAAATTGCAAATTAATTTAGAGTGCAATTCTGGATTTTTATTTGCACTAGTTTCACCTTAGGTTTTATAAAAAAATTTCAATTATTCCAAGTGTTTTTAAGTGTTATTCGGTTATTCTAAGTATTTCGATCCTTCCTTATGCCATTTAATTAAGCAATTTTTTTCATATTCACTTATAATTCACTTTATCCGTCTTGCAGCTATGATTGCTTTATACCTTAATCTTAGAAGAAAATAAATAAACTAACAATCATTTATAGCTGATGGATGCTTCCTATAAAAATTATCTGAACTGGAAGAATCGCTAAATTCATCGCCTTCACTTTCGTAATTTTTTTCAGTTGTTGAGCGTTGAGATGTCAAAAAATCTTCTTCTTCGTCCACTTGTGAATGTTCCTCTAAATTTATGAAATCTATTTACTTATAATTTAAATTTAGAATTTATAATAATTTGAATATATTTATTCATTTTTTTATTCATTGAATTTATTCATTTTTTTCTAATTTTTTAAATTTCTTTAGAGATATTCAGATATTTAGAGATATTTCTTTATTCACTATGTTTTATCAAATTTATCATTTCTACTATCTCGTACCATTTTTAGTTTGGTTGGCTCCACTAACATGACGACGATGCTCATTCGTAAAACAATATAAACAGTTGATTCACCAGCATCATCCATTTTTCAATTTTAATTTTAGCCTAAAGTGAAAATTGTCCGCTTTCGTTGTATTTCAAATTCAGCATGGTACTTGATCAACTTTCTCAGCATTATTGATCTATTCATATTGTGAATTTTACTTTACTAAGATTTCAGTGAATTCATTAAGTTTATCAATTCGTATTCTTTTCGCAATTAAAATAAACATTTTAAAATTTTTTGAGCATGAAAAACCGAAAAGAAATAAAATAAATAAAAATATTTCAAATTTTTTTCTTTTTTAAGCGTGAAAAACTTAAAGATTTATTTTATTACATTTCTTTTTTGCATTACTATTTGTTTAAAAGCGTTGCCTTCGCCTCAATATGCTTCATTTATAGAAATTAACGCAAATTTCGCTAAAATACAACGATGCATGACGGTCACGTGAGGGCTAACGTGAGATTTTTCAACGCGCATTAATGAAAGGATTTCGACGATTGACGGCGAAATCTCTTTTTCGTATCAATAAGCACTAATGAAATGAATCAAACCAGTAAAAATAGAGGAAGAAGAAACGATCGAATAAATTGTTAAATTTTCATTATTTGATAAAGAAAAAATAAATTTATGCGAATTTTTATGAGATTTTTTCCAAATCAAATTCTAATATATATTGGAGGAAATAATTTTAACAGAGGAAAGGCTGGAAATTAAAAATAATAAAAAATAATAAAAATAATAAAATAAACAAACCATTGCTAGAAGACGAATCCGGCGCACAACTTCCATGACCAACATCCGAATCGTCGCTTTCCATTTACAATTATTCATTATTCACTGGACAGTATAACAATAATCTTTTCACCGTAGTACAAAAATCGTTTTAAGATTTAAATATTTTCTTAGTAGCTCAATTCTAGCCTCAATCTCCGTATTGCTGCGAATTCACTATACTTTTCTCCTGAAAAAATTTCCTGGAAAAAATTTTTCGTCCTACTTTTAGCTAATGCAGCAAGTCTGATTATATAGAAAATGTCGGGCGGACGGAAATTCCAATAGCATATAACACATTTTAGTATTTGCACCTTCCATGTTTATATATCATTCGAAGCCTCTATGAATTTTTGCACCGTCCATGTTTATATATCACTCGAACCCTCTATGAGTTTTTTCTGGAACTCTTTATGATCGTTCAAAATCTCTTCTAACTGGCCATTTCAACAAGAAATACAAACCGATATTGCTATAATAAAATTTATTATTATATATTTAAATATATTATTATATATTGTAATTATATTATTAAATATATTAAATACTTTTTGATTTTTAGTTTATATATATATATATTATTTTATTTTTATTATTCATATATATATATATATTTAATAATATGAATATATATTTTTGAAAATTCTTTTTAAAAAACTTTTTAAAATTATATTTGATCAAAAATTAACAATTTCAAGAAAAAATCAGTGTGGAAAAATTTTTATCGGTTTTAATTAATTTTGATTATTTTTATCATTTTAAAGCGCCAATACTGATAAACCTATCTTTCAAAACATGCTGACATCTCCATACTTTTTTCTACATTAAATATTTCTGATTCGATAAGCCAAATGAATAATTTTAAATCGAAATGATAAGTCTTTTTGAGTCAAAAAAAACGAAAAATTTGAAAAATCCCACTTTTGGGAATTTAAAAATGAATTTTCAGAAATGAATTTTTTTACTTCTTCAATCCTTATTTTCTTTTTCGAAGATTTATTTATTAAAAACAAAAAAAAAAAATTAGAAGATAAAACATCTTTGTTCATTTATGTCTGGAATAGGGCAAAAGAATTAAAATAAATTTTCGAATAAATAATTAACTAAAAAAAAAAACGATGAAAATGATTAAAAATGAATAAACATTAACCATTAATTCTTATCAAAAATTTTTTCGAAAAAATAAATTCACCCTTAAAAAATTTTAATTTTTTTTATTTTTTGATTTTTATTTTTCTCATCTTAAATTTCTCCTCGAAAAATTTCTCGCATAAATTTTTTTTTCTAAAAGCGCTGATTATTTTTTGGCTAAAAAACTTTAGAAGTACGAATAAATGACTGTTAGTACCATGCGAATTTTTGAAACGCAAATTTATTTATTCTCGCTAAAATTCGAACCTCAACAATGATGAAGCTCAACTACGAAATGAAAGCAACAACCCACTCATTATTTATAATTATTAACTAAACATTTTAACTAAACATGATAAGATTTATCTTTTTATTACATGAATAAAATATTTTATTTCACAGCAATGAAATTTTTATGCAAAAATATAATTTTTTCTATTGCAGTTTGAAAATAATAAAAACGATAAAATATTTTTTTCTAAAAAGAATACTTTAAAAAAATTCGAATTAATTTTCATTTATAGTGCTTAAGAAATTGATTTATTTTATTATAAATAAAAATTATTTATAATGAAACGAAAAAATTTTTTAAAAATTAATTTTTTATTATTTTGAGTTCCACATAATTGTTTTTTTTTGTTATTTCGTAGATTTTCATCGACTAATTGGTACTTCCTTCCCGATAAGTTTTAAATTTTGCAAATATTTAAGAAATGTGTCAAATTAAGATCTGCATTCAACAAATGTTATGGAGAAAGTAGTATAAAAAATAATATAATATTCAAGTAATATGAAAAAATATAATAAAATACAATATAAATAAAGTGAATGGAATATAATGCCCTTCAGATTGTTTTATTATTTATTAATATTTTATTTTAATATTTATTTTATAAAATATGAAATACAATAAAAACAATATAATAAAATAATATAATAAAAAATATATTTAAATCTTTTGCATTCTATTTAATTTACAAATTAAAAAAAATTTTTATTTTGATTTTAAAATTAATTAGCTAAATTAATTAAACAAAATTTGAAAAAATTCATTTTGTTAATAAATTTTCATTTCATTTCAAATTAATTCAATAAATTAAAAAAATTTAGCTAATTAATTTTGCACAATTTTTTCATACAATTTTAAATAAATAAATATAATAAATAAATCATTAAGAAAAATTTATTAAATTTATTATTTTTCATTGTATCATTCGTTTAATGTTTGATTAAATACGCATTGATTAAATTTAACTAAAATTTAACTAATTTAACTAATTGTTCTTAATTTTTATTATTTTTATTATTGTTTTCTATTTTTTTATTATTTGAAGCGCCGAATCATTTTGTAATTCGCTTTATTATCCAAATAATTTAGTAATAAAATTTTTCAATTTCAACGGAATGAAAATGTTGAGCGGTAAAAAAAAAAATCTCATTGGGCTGTATTTTACATATTTGATTATTTTCAGTTGAATTTAGCTAAATTTTGTGCAAAGTTTTTAAAAACGAACAAATAAACAATAAATTTATTTAAATAAAATAAAAATATATCTAATTTATCATTAAATAGTAATTTGCAAATAATTTTTTTATACAACAAAATAGCGACAATATATATTCTTTATTTATGCATACAAAAAAAATTTTTACAATATAAAAAAGAAGAAAAAAAAAGGAGAGAAAAATTTTTATTTAGAAAATTTAGAAAAAAAATAACCCGCATTTAAAAATTTTCACAATAAGCAAGATTATAAGTACTTATTATGCATGCAAACACTTCTAAGCAAAGCTATAAAAAGCTAAGCAAAGAACGAAAGCTATAAAATATTAAAAATATAAGCTAAAATAAGATTTTTTTTTTCTCTCAGCAGATTTCTCCAATATGACTACTTCTCATAAGTTAAATGCACTAATAAAAATCAAGAGAAAAAAAAGCCATTTTTTATAAAGCTTATCATAGCTAATATAAAATAACTGATAACTGATAATATTAAATTGCTGATAACTGATAATATTAACTGATAATATTAAGTTTTAATTAGATTCTCAGAATCTGTCTGTTATCTGTTATTTTCGACCTATTATTTAAAATTTTTCAATTTTAAAGATAAGTTATATCATCTTGCACCATTGTTGTTGTACCATCATGATCTTCGCAAATTTGACTTTCATTAATTTTCGCAAGAATTTTTGTATTTCCATTTATATGATTTTCGCTATGAAATGAATCGCTTGATCCCAAATTATTCAATGAGATTCGATCTTGCAATATTGGCTTTAAATGATTTTTCGTTTGATTATCCTTTTGAAATGATGAAGAAAATTCTTTAGCCTGAAATTTATTTCCAATTAGCCAATTTAGCTATTATTTATAATTTTATCATATATCAAAGTGGAGTAAGAAAAATAGACTTTTCTTTTTCCTTGTGCAATAAAATTTTTCGCAAATGACGATTCGTAAGGCTCAGCAGCACTCATGTATTGAAGAGTTTTACTATTTCTTTTGATTCTGTCTTGAAGTTGGCCATTCAGTGCTCCTATAATATATTTTAAGTTTTTAGCTAAAATTTATTAAAAATCCCTCGAGAATTTCAGAAGACGACAAAACAGCGATAATTTATATATGAATAATATTTCTTGAAATTGTTTCTTAAATGGAATCAAAAATTGCAGAAAATAGAATTTTGAATGATCATTATCTCAGTATTATTATTTTTCATGGAAAATTGTCTGGTTCGATGAGATATAAAATGCAACAATTGTTATACAAAAAATTTTTAAGAGAAATTTTTCAAGTCGCAAATTACTTTAATTTATTTCCTCAAAATAAGAAGGAACGATGCAACATTGATAAAATTATTCTATTTTTAAGAATTATTAAATAAGCGACTAATTTTTATCGATGTTGAACTTTAAAGCTTTTAAATTACAAGAAAATAAACCATATAAAATCCAATTAATTGCTGAATTCGTAAAAGGCAATGCATGAATAAAATACATGGAATAAACGAATGCAGGTGAAACAGTTTTTCCATTTTCATCAGCATATTCCAAATAAATTGCATATAATGTGGAAATCCAGAATGGAGTCCAGCAAATAAAATAAAAGCAAGCTAATGCAAATGTATAGAGCGATATACGTAAAAGTGGTATATGCGATGACTGAAATTTTTTTATAAGGATGATTAAAATTTCTGATTAGCTAGGCTAGTTTATCAGACCGGACAAATTACTATGGAATTACTTAGCAATAGAGTAAGTCACAAGAATTAGCCAAATTTTTCACAAAATAGATTCACGACTGCCTATAGTAGAACGCTAAAAATCGGCACTCCAAATTGAAAACGACAATCGCACTGTAGAATTGTATTATATTAATAAAATTTTTATACTAAAATTGACCTTAAATTGTCGTTTATGTTCTCGTAAACAATGTAGAAGTTTTATATAAAAGAATGCAACTAATGAAAGTGGTAAGCAATAACATAAAATGAATTGATAAACGGTGAACATCGTAAAAACGGATGAAGAAACATTAACCATCGTACATTTTTCAATTTGCATGCGAGTTAATTTATGTGGCGCTGTTTTCTAAAAAAAATTTTTTCCATGAAAAATTGCAATTTTTAATAAGAAAAATTGAGAATTTTTATTGTGAAAAAATTCTTATCTCCTTGAAAATAAATTTATTTTCTATTTCGATAAAAAAATAGTGATAAATCTTTAGAATTAATAATAAAAATTATGAAATAAATTTCGAAATATTATAAAAATGTTTAGCGAAAAAAAAACTTAAATTATGAGATTATACGAAAAAAATATTGCACGACTCAGATATGATAAGATTTAATTTGATATTATCAACTCATTTTATTATTGCTATTATTAAACTGTTAATAATTCTTTGATGAATTCTTTTCATTTGCGAGACATTTTTTTTTTTTTAGTTTTCTGCTAATCATTTCTGGCTAAGCTCATTTTTGGTTTATCGAAAAAAATTTGTCCAGGAAAAACCGCTTGGTGATATAGGATAAGTTACAAGCGCCTGGATTCTTAAATGATGAGTTTATTCCTCCCAAAAGATGGATTCACAACATTGGCGTAATGAAGTGAAAGTAACAACTCACTGAACGAACTATTCTAACATTTGATGGTATAGCAAAAAGAAAAAAATTTGGAATACTTACTTTTTCGAAAAGAATTATTTCTTTTGTATTAAAGCTCCATAATAATGGACCAAGAGTTATGAGGGCATATGCTGCTAAGCCTTAAAAAATTAATAAAAGATATTAAATATATAAGAGATTTTTTTAATATGGTTAATATGATTTCTTAATCGAGCATCAGCGAGTTATCTGCTAGCAATAGAAAGGCATCAATATGATATAAAATCATTGAAAAATGGAACTACTTCTATAAAAATAGGTTCTAGTAGGAGTGGTACTTTATATTACGCATTCCAACAACACATTAAGCTATTCTATTAAGAGAGAATTGATAAATTAACCAAATTTTTATGCATAAATTGATTCTATTAAATTATTCTAAATAATTGAATCCTTACCCAATAGTATGGATGCAGTCATTTTTTTTGATCTTAAGCATTTATTTTGAGCTTGGCATACACCAGCGTAACGATCGAAAGACATTGCTGTTATAATTAATGACGATAGTATCTTACCAAAATTTTCTAATAAAGCTTGCAATTTACAAATAACACTGCCAAACATCCAAAATCCCAAAATCTTGAATTGAAAATTATTTCAATATTAAATAATAATACAAATTTTATGAAAAATAAAATTTTTTTTTTTTCTAAATAATTTAAAGGATATCGTTTTATTTTTCTAAGAGCTTTCATTAGATTTCATTCATTTCTGATTAGATTCGCTCTTCTGGTTTATCAGATAAATTTTATGAGAGGCATTTGGCTAGCTACAGAAAAAATACATTGCTTAGCATCAGCTAGCCAGATTTGGAAGGCAAATTAGCTCGATTTGCCAGAAATTTTACTATTGGTATTTCGAAAATATATAACAAACCATTCTATCTATCTCTCATTTAAATATAATAAATATTAGTAATAATAATAATAAATATTAGTAATAATAATAACAAATATTAGTAATCTAGTTGGTAATCAAACACAATTTTAATATTTCATTATACAAGCGATTAAGGATGAAAAATAAATTTTAATTGGAGGAAATATATCATTTTTTTTTTTTGTGAAAAAAATTTTTTTCTTTAAAATTTATTTATTTGCCACCATTTTATCATTCATGAATTTTCATTCCATTAACTAAAAAAAAACCAAAATATTGAAAAAAGAATGGTTCTATGTTCTGCTTTTGTTTCTGTCGTCTATGCCTGGCTGGTTTAACTGATTAATTATCAATAATAAATTTTCAGGCCTACAAGCCTAATGGATTTCCAATATTTTCTTTAGGTGATTTAGCATATTTAATACACAAAAAAATTTTTTATAGGAAATTTTTTTTTTTGCTCTAAAAGTGCTCACTATTTCTGGTTGCGTTCGTTTCAATGAATTTCCTCAAACCAATTTTTGCAGGAAGTCAATTTGGCGATAGAAATATTGCTAGCATTGCCAAAAAATATAAGTTTATTTGAGTTTAAAGTAAGTTAAACTTATTCTGAAATAAGAGCGACAATCCATTCTATTCCATAAATAATTAGTAAATTATGCCATTTTTTAATAAAAATAAGATTTGATGAGCATAGATAAAAATAAAAAATAAAAAAAATTCACCTGATCAAGAACTGTAAAAGGTAAAGAAATACACACACCAAAATCTACACACGATAATACAATAACGTATAGTAAAGTGTTGTCAAGTCTCGCTCGATGTAAACGACTCTAAAATTCTTTTTTATTTTATTAATTTTATTAAGTAAATCGATATAAATAAGAAAAATTGCAACTCAAAACTCAAATAATATTAATTTAAATAATATTAATAAATAATATTATTAATTTATATTAATTTAATTTAAATGTGTGCTAAAAAGGAAAGGAAAAAAGGAAAAGGAAAAGGAAAGGAAAAGGAAAACTCAAATGGAAAATTTAAGCGAAAATCGGCGATAAAATTTCATATTATAATTGATTTTATAATTTTTGCTAAATTCACATCACATTTAATCATATAACTTACAATTAAGCCATATGATACAAGCTAATTTTAAATGGAAAATTTTCTATAGCGACAATTTCAATTAGAAATAGAAATAGAAATTACATACAACATGATAGATCGTTGTAAGAACAGTGACATTCCCACATGTACCCAAAAGGAAGAGAAGCATATAAGCACTGGCCATTATTAGAACTTGTGGATCTTGATGATTCGGAGGAGGCAATACATATGTGATTTCCAATGAATCGTAATTCATGGCTAGGTCAATTCGCTGAAAACAATCCGATTATCTGTTTAATAACAAATATAAATATAAAAAATGTATGGTTTTATGGTTTTTTTTTAGCAAATCTAAATTATAAAATAAAAGATTTACAAAGAATAAAAGAAATATTTTTTTTATCATTTATAATAATAATAATTGTAATAATTATATGTTAAACGATTTTTTTTAAGATATTCAATACTGAAGCTTCCTTCACATTGGATTAGAAAATTTTCAGGGATAGAAATACAGCTAGAATCACCTAATTTTAAAAGTATGGACAATATTCTTGCTGGGCATAGAATCGGCTCATCCAAATTAAGAGTAACAATCAACTGAAATATAAATCAATTTTTGCCTTTTACTTTACCACAATTTTCATCATTTCAGTGTAATTTCGAAATTCTATGCGAGAAAACTTCATTAATGCCATATCGAAAGAAAAATGAAGGAAAACCTTATGAAAAAACTAATTATTTGGTGGTAAATCCTTTATAGAAAACTAAACTCCTTTTCTTTCTTACCGTGATGATGAATAAAATGCAATTATAAGTAAAGTCAAATAAAGTCAAATTCTTGGCAAAAAATTTACTATGTATTTTATTTTCTTCTAAAGAAGCATTTTTATTGTGAGAAATTCCCATATGTACCCAAAAAAAAGAAAGAACAATCATTCGAAATTTCGCCTTAGGGCTAAATATTGACTATCACAGCAAATTGGTATGATGCCTTATAAAATTTTTTTCATTTGATATAATAAATTATATTCTCAGATGTGATCTTTTCTTTATCGATATTCAAGATTAAAATTGAATTGAATTATCTATAAAATTATTTAAATTTATCATTTTCCTAATTATCTTTGCTATTTTTAACATTGGTCTAATATTATTAAAATTAAATGTGTTGTTTTTTTGATGTTCGTATTTAAGGTAATTTAAAGTAATCTAAAAATTTTTACTCTGTTATTATTATTATTTCCATTATATTGAAGCTACTCGGTTTTTATTGAAAGAAATTCTCTTTATCTCATTATTATTGGTTAGGCTGGTTTCGCTGGCTTAAAGCGTAAGATCACGTCTCCAAACTAACGTCCGACGCCATCGCTGACACTAAAACAAGCAAGCACATGGCGTTTGCACCCTGTTTGGCTGGTTTTCATTAAAGTCATCATTCATTTTTTGATCTTCTCCAAATCCATATCTCGCTGGTACATCTATATATTCAAAATCTTTCTTGATTGTGTCAGCCAGATCTTAATTGGACACCTTGCTTTTGATTTCCAATTATCACAGGATTCGACAAATAGCAAAATATGTATCAACTCTTGTATGTCACAAATTTATATATATGCGATGGGCGAAGAAGAACATGTCTTAACCAGCGAAGACTGACAGTTCTATGACACGTTCTGTTAATGCAAGTGACATTTGGGCGAGGGTGGATGTAATCATGTGAGATTTAATCCGCTTGGCGGATCCGTAAGATTTTTTCTTAGACATGAATGATTAACGGCAAGAAAGAAATAAATAAAATCTGAAAATAAAAAAAATAAAAATTTTAGCTAAAATCTGCATGGCAAGAACATTAAATTGTCCAGTATCATACGAAATTTTTAATTTCCTTAAATTTTATAAATTAAATATTGGATCAAATATTAATATTTAAATATTAATAATATTAATATTTTTAATATTAATAAAATTAATATTATTAAATATTAAAAAGAAAAATTCTCGGATGAAGCGTTGGACATATGACATTAGCAGCTGAAATGCTAACATCTTTTGAAAAAAAAAAATTTTAAATAGTTGCCTCTGTTTAATTAATTAGGCTAAAGATAAATCCCTATTGAATTTTTTTCGCTTTAATTCATCCAAACCAAAAGAATAAATATAATTAAGGCGTAAACAAGAGAGATGGTTTTAAAGAACTAATAGAATGAGTATCTCAAATGTTTACATTTCAACTAGTCTTCCTCTTTCCTTCCTTTCCCTCCCTACCCCCCCCCCCCTTTCTAAACTATTCCCCGTTTAGTTTATATAAAAGAAGTATAAATGATTATATTCGCAATAAATTGATTTATTTATCCCTTATCAAACATGAAAAACATCTGCTTTCCTATTATATTTGTTCATAAACTATCATTATTTCAGATTAATGGATTATTGAGTATAATTGATATAACTACTTAAAAACGTTAATAATATAGGCGAATAGATGTAATGCAATTCATGAGAATTTTCTAGCTTAATATGTAACTAATAAAGGAAAGTAAACATTGCGTAATATATTTTCTAATTATTTTTCAGAAATTAACGAAAATAAAATATATCTAATAAAATATAAAAACAAAACAATAATTTAATAATATATAAAATTAATGATAAATAATTTAAATAAATGATTTAAATAATTCAATAATAATTTTCGATAAAATAATACATTCATTTTTTTTTTCAATATTCAGCAATTACAATCAATCATAGAAATTTTTTAGCGAAAAGGAAAAGGAAATTAAAAGGAAAAAAAAAAGAATAGCTGGAAGGAATGAATTTTAAAGAATAGAAAGGATTATAGTTATAGTAATTGCAATAAATTTTCTAGAAGAATATAATTGAATATTTAAGAAAATTAAAAAAAAAAATTGAAAATCTGATCATTCGATGAATAAAATGAATGAATAAAAGACGAATAAAAGAATGCAATACATTTACATAGTAACCGATGAATAAAAAAAAAAATTTGATCCATACATTATACTACAAAATAAAAATTTAAAATAAAATAAGTAAAATAAAAAAATTTAACCTTTTTGCTATCATTCGATAGATTTGTCCATTGTTCTGAATTTATCACTGATGATGTTATATTAAATGTATTATCCATAGTTGAATTGAATTTTTTTTATTCTTGTTTAAAATTTTGCAATTAACATTTCTCGATATATCACTTATTATCACTAAAAAGAACGCATTGAAATATTAAATATTAAATAAGAAATAACACAGTATTATACTCGATATTTTTTTATTTGAAAAAAAAATTTATTTGAAATTTTTTTTCAAAATTATTATTTTTAACAAATTTCATTATTTGAATAAATTATTTTTTATTTTCCCAACGAAATAAATATTTAAGAATGTTTAAGACAGATTTGTTTTATTGCAAAAAAACAAGAATTTCTGAAAAAATTTCTCATGAAAGTTTTCTTATGGATGAAATATCTTTGCATATTATATATATATATATATATGTATTTAAAAACTATCACCACTACTTGTTAAACTCGCTCAAATGGCTCATCGAATAAAAATATGATGGGGAATCTATTAGCGACAGAAATAAAGGTGAATCGCCAGCACCATCCGGAGTTTTATGTATATATATATATATAAAATAACCTTAAATTATCATTTATCTGCTAAACAAAAAAAAAAAAAAATTCAGTGGTGCGCGATGCAGGCAATGAGAATTTTGGTGGACTTTCCACAGCGGAATCAAACCAACAAACCAAAAATTTCATTCATAAATATTATTCATATCCAGAAAAAGATTTCAAAGATTAATTTTCACTCTTAAAAATGGATATAAATAAAAATTTATATAATAAAAAGTATATAAATTTATATTTAAAATATAAATTTTATTTACTTTTATAAAATATAAATTAATATAATAAAAATAAATTCTATACGAAGTAGCAAAATAATCGAATATTTAAATGTAATATAAGATTTAGTTTCGCTAAAATCCAATTAATAGTGATGCTAATTATATCCTAAGCTTTCCAACCAGTAAATTGAAAATCTTCTTCTATAACAGCTAATCGATTATCGTAAAATTATCTCCAAAGTAACATCTAAAGATTTTGATTTATGAAAACTAATGGTGATTAATAAATAGTGAATTCGATTTTTCATAATTTATAATTTGTAAATTGTTAAATATTAAAAATACTCAACCAATTCTGGTTGAGACACGCTTCGCTAGCAAATTCTTCTCAGTGCCAAAAAAATTTACCAGAGAGATTCACTTGATGATAAAAATCTATGAACTCGAATTTTTTTGAAATTCAAATTGACTCTTGATATTACGAGTAAAGCTCTATTTCAAAATGATGCTTCTAGCCCATTAACCCAAAATTAATGAGAAAAAATAAATTACTATTATAGATTATAAATTCTATACGAAATCTATCTATAAGATGGGATAATTTTGGAACGTCGAAATTAATAAATCCACGTATTTACGTAGAAATTCCCCCTTTTTACTGCTTTTAATCATCGAAAATAATAAATCCACGTATTTGCGTAGAAATTCCCCCTTTTTACTGCTTTCATTCACCGGAAGTAATAAATCCATGTTTCTACGTAAAATTCTCCTTTTTATTGCTTTCAATCAAAATGGAGAAATTTTCTTTTTTAATTATGATGACTGCAATCAAAATGATTAGATTGCATTTTTTAGGAGATAAAAATTTAAAGGTATAAGATTTTGAGGAATAATCTATCGTTTTTTCGTGTATATATAAACTCAGATTTATTAAAATATACGAGTAATAGTTAACGAGTAAAAATCATGAAAGCATGAAATCATCAAGAATAATTTTTTATTATTTAAAGTATATTTGTTGTTTTTTTTCGACGAAATATATATAATCATTTAGCGAAACGAAAATTGATTAAAATAAAATTTTTAATAAATTTGAAATAAAATTAGAGAAAAATTAGAGTAATTTAAAAGTAAAACAAAAAATTAAAGTGTTATTTGACGAAACATCACTTATCACTTAATCACTTCACTTAAAAATATCATTTCACTTAAAAAAATAAATAAATAAGGCAACAACTGATTTTCACGAAAGGAATTTTCTAATATAAATACTGCTTTACTTCTAAAATGAAATCATAAATAATAAATTAGAAAAATTCATCTGAATTTTTTTTTTTCCTCCATTCCTCATTTAACCAAGCCCACTTAACTGAATG